TCCTTTTCAAAAAAAAAAGTGGCCCCTTCAAATTGAGGTGCGGCCATAGAGATTCATCTATGCATGCGAGTAATAGTTTTGCCAAAACTACGGATTTGCTCCGTCAAATTTTGGAAGGTCAAAATGCAGAGCAAACGAAGATGATTCGGTAGCATCCGAAACAGGAAAATCACGAGATGAGGAAAATTTTGGGGACAAAATAGAATCGAGCACACCTCTGACCGCGGGATGGAGATATAGGTTATGTGCTTTCCCCCGGTGATCATGATCAAGGCAAGGGCCTTGTGCAGATCTGCCTTGATCTGGTCAATGTCTAGTGCCAGCTATTCTCAAATGTTATCAACCCTCGACGACACGAGACCATCAAGCGTAGAATTGTCCGCCTTCAGTAACTGCTCATGGAACGGAGCAATGATTCACCTTGATCCTTGAGTTTTTTCTACAAGTCAATGGCGAAGTCCGTGCGAAGAAGTTCATAGACCAAGCGACCTTCGATACCCAGCTCCTCCATGGCTTGCTCGCACCGGCGATCACTGAATCGAGTGCAGTGGTCGTGATGCCCAGGACGATGGCTATGAATACGAACTGTGAACTAGTAACTAGATCTGGCTCACATGAGCTAGGAAATTCATGAATTCAACTCGAATTTATATATAGAGGTGGTTGTTCCTCCCATGCACCGACTCAATTATCCAAATTACAGCCAATTTGGCCAAAGCCGTACAACGGGTATTTGTACTGCAAATAAATTACACCCGCTTTAACTTGTCTAGTTTGGGCTAGCAAGCCACTAAGAAAGTCTCTTGGGCGTTGATGATTTGGGTCGGCATTCTTCTATTGTAGATGTCTGGCGGTTGTGGGCACCTGCTGGTTCAGATACAGGAGAGACAGCTTCAGCAATCAGTCTAAGGTCGCTGACAAGTAGAGAGATGAAAACAGAAGCTCAACACAGGTTGCTCGAAGGACAGCAACGACGACTAGTGGGGGAGGTAGTCAATCTGTTGCAGCCTCCATGTGGTCGATGCTTAACCGCTCGGTTCTCCTAGGGAAATTTGCAAGGGCACGCATGTGCGGAAGTACGCACCCACCTAGACTGCTCGGCCGCCCGATTTGCATGGCGGTCCACAAAGTCGTCCGATCACGAGCACACAGTAAGTTTTAAGTTCTAAAACTTGCGATTTTGCTTCTGAAACATATGATTTTCGTGGTCGCTACTATCAAGTTTCAGAGTTAAATTTTAAGCTATTTTTTTGTCAGCCACAGGTATTAAAGTTGTGATTTTGTCTGTCGCTTGTACTGAGTTTTAGAAGTTAAAACTTAACACAATTTTTAGAAACTGGTCAAAATGTATTTAAAATGGATCTTATTTGAAAGGAGATTTTAATTTGTACTTTCGGTTGACAAGATAAGAAAGATTAAAATTGAAAGCCAAAAGAAAATGCAGACGCAAGGGGCTCGGTGCCCTCGCACCTGTGTGCTACAGATCCTCTCCCGGTACTCCTAGCTATATCTAGAAGACTCCTCTCCTCTCTCTCTACTATCTGACTTTACTTTCCATATATACATACATATATTGATTCTTGATGGTGTAGAAAGATCGATCAGATCCAACTAAAATCTGTTTCCATGTAGCACAACGTCTATCTCACCCCCTCTCTCTGCCGTGCTGCCAAAAAGCAAGTGGTCATTGAAACAACTTTGGGAAAATCATCCAACCTCATGTAATCACCCGCCAAAAAGCAAGTTAATCCCGTTTAAACCGTGCGGTAGCCTCTCTCTCGCATCTCTCGCATCTCTCTCTCTCTATCCGTACCGAGTAACAAACTCGCCCGTTCAATCCTGTTTGACACGTTAGCGACCACAATATACAGAGTAAGGGCAGGGCCCAGTGGAATCGGCCATGGAAACCAGGCGATCAGGAGGCTGGACGCAGGCAGTCGATACGTGCGGGCTTGTGTGTTTTCTATACGTACGTATGCAACCGTGGACCTGCACGATATTTGAAGTTTTCAACTCGCTTTGTTCCCGCTTTTCTTTTCCTCAGAGGCTCTGCGACTAGAAGCCCTAGCCGCCGACAGGGGAGTCCCTTAGCCTCGTTCCTCCGGCGGCTCCCCTCCGCCGGCGACCTCGGTCGTCGGTGGTGAGAGGGGTCGCCAGATCTACGCGTGTGGATCGTGTAGCTTTAGGTTAGGCCCTAGTAGCTTTGGTTTTCCAGCCATTCATCGTCTTCACTTCGGAGGCGGCGATGGCGGCGCTGAATAAAGAAGGTTGAGATTTGTCTTCAACGAGGCAATCGGTCCTATGGTTGGGAATGGATGATGGATTTAGAAATTAGTTTGTTCAAGTAAAGATGGTGTGGCGGCGGCATCACCCTCGTGGTGGACTAGTGTCCTCGGGCTCCGTCGTTGCGACGACGTCTGCTCCAACATCGGCGCGGAGCTTGGGAGGTAGTCGAGAAGTGGATGCGTACTATGATCTGCATCACGACATCTGGAAGACCGAACGTGTGCTGGGCTCATGGTTCGTGGATGGCAGGTATGGTTTCCTTCTCCGACGTCTTAGTCATGTGAGGTGCCAGATCTGAAGGTCGATGGCGTGTCCGGAGTGTTGCACCGGTCTAATTCGTTCAACGGTAATGGTTTCGTCTTTGACGAGCCACCTTGGAGGCCCGCAAAGCTGCATATCAGCGACGGAGCCGCGTCGAGCTCGGGTGAGAAGGTGATCTGTCATTTTTTCTTTCGGTGGCTGCTATGCTGGTGCCGGAGGCAGGTGACGAGCGTTGGTGTCAAGCTTAGAGACGTTATGTTATCTTTTCAGTTTTGTCATATCGGTCCTTATGTGACTTGTACTTTTAATCTTTATGATATGAATGGGACATATATTACCATGCAAAAAAAAAAACTCGCTTTGTTCCCTTGTTATGATGTATGTACCGTGTCAGAGAGCATGTCCATAATCTGACGCCCTGGGAATTGATCGGCTTTATTCATTCAACCTCATATGGTTAATATATGCGACTTAGAACTTGTACAAGGGACTAAATTGTGGTCAAAACTTCATCTTATTTGAGTTCATGGTTAAAACTTGGTTCTAAGAGAGCTTAGACCTGAGTCTAGCCATTGATCACCACGTTGCTATTGTTTTTCCAGAATCGGCTCTTGTACAGTACAAACACCACCTAGTTCTAAATGAGAGGTGATTAGAAGTGAGCTCCAAACAGACACAAATTGTGAGAGGAAGTCGATGGTGAAGAAATATAATGTTCTGATATGCATGTGTGTACAAAGAGCAAGTGCCAAGAAAAACTTGGAACCACATTTCACTACTTACCGACAAACTGGTGGCTACGGTGTGGCTATATTATGAACTCCAAAGTTTGCTTCTGGAAACAATTATGATTAAACTTAACTCGTAGAAATAATGGGCAATAGCTTTAGTGAGAACCGTCGTCTATTAAGGCAGTCTAAGGCAGCAACTATATTTGCAATTCAGAGATACACTGACACCGCGCCTCCACCCTCTCACAATTCTTCTTCCACCGGGCTTACCACAGTCATTCCTCCTCCGCCATGGGTCGATGGTTGACGAGCGCTTATGACATGGAACCGTGAGATAGCTCCAGTTGAAGCCGAAAATGGACCCCCCCCCCACCCCAACATTTGCATGGCTTTGTGGAAAACGTGATATGGCAATACATTCCTTTGGTATGTTACAAATCTACATTTGGTTTGCTGCAAGCGGACGGGTGACATGCCCCCATGAGTTTGAGGGTCTATTGCAAACTATATACTTCATGTTATCTCTTTTGTGAATTATTCTGCATGTTGTGGGAAGCATTGATTTAAATGTTGTAGCATATGTTGCCAAGAGTGAACCAACCTGTGGTTGAATGGTTAGGAGGACTATGGTATCGCCAGCCCACCAGAGTTTAAGTCCTAGGCTTGAGTACTCACATTTTTCTGTATTTATTTCAGACCTTCCGGCGATGTGCATTTAGTGGAAGGAGACGTTCCCGTCGACCACGATGGAGTCTGTGGCGATTTCGCCAATATGAAAATGATGTGTCGACTCTGTCTCTCGAAAGTGCTTATAGGGGTAATGGTGTATGTGCGTCTGCGTCTGGACCGTGTTAAAAAAAGCATATGCGAAGCATAATTGTTCTCAGGGACTTTGGTACTTTTTTTTTTCTCATGCTATGTCGATTTGGTAGGAATGCATCGATGTTTATGGTATTGTCCTTGGACATGCCATGAAAAAAATGATGATAGTAATGCTAAAGTGACATCCAACGGTGGATGCGGCGGCATATCTGGGGCTGGGGCTGGGCGCCCCCGCAAATTAAACGCTCAGCTCTCCTAAAAGAATACTCCTCTCTATCTCTACTCTCTTCACCGGTTTAATTTACTTTCCTTTTGTCTCCACTTAAATATCTTGTTGGCGAAGAAATACCAATCAGAGATCCGGTGAAGATTTGCTTCCCTGTATGAGTACGATTCATCTGATCCCTCTCTCTGTGGCACGCTGTGAAATTAACAGAAAGTGATTCCGTACGGTGGTCTCTCTCTTGCCAAATTAACAGCAGGAGAATCCCTCTTTTTCCGTAGGCGTAACAAATTCGATCGATCCCTTTCCTTCCTTCACCCGCCATCGTCTCCATCGCGGACTCCCGTCCCCTTCCCGCCGCGACCCACCACTCGCAGCCGCGCGCGCCACGGAGCCCCCGCTCGCATAAACCCTACCGACTCCTACTCGATCTCTACCCCGTCTCGGCGTTGCCGCCGCAGAACGATCCATATAACGCGGCCCACTCCACCTCTATCTCCTCCACCCACAAGCAAAGCGCGGCGTAGCCAAAGCCAAAGCTCCCCACAACACAAGCCAAGCCATAACTCTCGAGCGTAGCGACGCCAAACCCTAGCTAGCTTCTCTTTTGGCCGTCTCTCTTTCTCTCCATCTGTCGTCACTGCTGATCGACCGATCTGGTTTCTTGGTTTCTTTCCATGGCCGGCTCCGGTGATCGTCAGCAGTGGCGCCGCAGCGGGGGCGAGCTCGAGGAGGGCGAGGTCGTCTCCGGGTACTACACGGGCTCCGACACCGACACCGACACCGACGACGAGGCCGCGCGCTACTACCTAAAGCCAGTGCGCCGCTACGACGACCACCGGGAGATGATGGTCACGGTCGCGCGGCCAGGCCCCGGCCCTGTCCTTGACGACGTGGTCGTTGGCACTGGCAGCGCCGGGTCAAGGTCAAGATCAAGATCGACTACCCGGGCGTCGTCGCCCACTACCTCGCTCGGCTCCGACGGGACCATCAGCAATGCTGCCGCAGTCACCGCGTTATTCCCGGCCTGTCCCGTCTGCCACAGGCAGTTCCACAGCTCCAAGGCCGTGCACGGCCACATGAGGGTCCACGCGCAGGCCCAGCCCAAGGAGGAGGAGAAGGTGTATGCTACGGTCAGCGCCGTGGACGAGGTGGCCGACTCCGTGTCCGTGTCCACGGCCACTGTCGTCGGGGAACCCAAGATCTCGGATGACCCGATGACGGTGGAGCAGGGGAGCAGCGATCAGGTCGTCCGCAGCAGCAGCAGAAGCAGCAACAGCGCCAGCGTCCAGAAGCCTTGTCAGAGTACTTCTGATCGGTCCATGGCCATCGTGGTGGCAGGGGCAGCACCGCCCACCGCTTTATCGGAGGAAGTTGACCTCGCCCCGACGCCTCCTGCACCGCAGCAAGACCCCGACTCACCGCCGGTCGCACGAGCACCAGAGCCAGCCGCCGCCTACCTCCACCGGGCCGCCCCGGCACAGCAGCATGCACTCGTCCCCCCACCACCGGCCGCGGCACCGCTGCATGCCTTCCACGGGCCGCTGCACATCATCGCGCACCGGGACACGGCCGCCCCGCGTGGGTTCTCGTGCAAGGAGTGCAACCGGTGGTTCCCGACGCACCAGGGGCTGGGCGGCCACGCCGCCGGCCACAAGAACCGTCGCATCGCGGCAGAGGCCGCTGCAGCCATAGCCGCGGGGCTCGACCCGATTGACCACGCCGCGGGCGGCCCCAGGCCGGAGAAGCTCCACACCTGCAAGGTCTGCGGCGAAGTTTACAACAGCGGCGTCCGGCTAGGGGGGCACATGAGGAAGCACTACACAGGAAAGCCCATCGTGCCGAGGAAGCGGGCGCGCCTCCTCCTTCCCCAGGACGTCCTCGGGCTCGCGATCCCCGGGCCGGCGCCACAGGCGCCACCGGCCGAGGTGGCGGCTGCGCCGCTGCAGGCGCCGGCGGTGCCGGCAGGCTGCGTGAGGCTCTTCGGCGTCACCATCGTGCCGGAGGCGAAGAAAGAGGAGGAGGAGCCCTGCGTCGACGACAAGCAGTGATCGATAATGCGGCATGCAGTTTGGGCATGTACAATGGTTCTATCTTAGCAATGCCATGTAGGATAAATGATGAGGTGGAGGAGAGAGAAATCATAAGAGAAGGCTTGTCTTCTCTTAATTAAGAGAAGGCAAGAGATGATCTCTTAGCACAATATGTCTCACCATGTTTTTAGGAATAACTAGTTATTGAAGATAAGGCTAAGAGATGACCCATTGTAGACATGTTTTTTTGTCATCTCTAAATTACATACAAGAATTAAGATAAGACCGCTTTATCAACCATTGTACATGCCCTTTGATATCGAAGAGTATGAAAGTATTTTGATGTCAGTACATATTAGTCATACGTATGAAATTGTTATGAGATTGGTACCATTAGAAGATTTATTAAATCAGAAATATCCAAGGAGATGTCTAAAGTTGTGTGATAATTTTCATCGGTACGTGGAACTTGATAATTGTCTCTTGATTGTACTCTTTGTTCATCAAGTTTTATAACGTCCGCTGGCTGTTATACAAGGATGACACACTGCGCACCACACACACGCACATTAACCTTGATCAGCTTTCTTGGAACGAAAAAAGACCAAAGCGCGATGACAGAAATTTTCTCGGAAACGATCGTAAGAGAAGTACAGAACTCACGCTTGATTCTAAAAAAAGAAGTACAGAACTCACGCTCAAACTGGAAGTGCATGCATGCATGCACAAAGCCAAATAAATCGACACAAAAAAAAGTGTCTAGTTCTTTTGTACTCCCTCTTCTCCGTATTATAAGTCGTTTTAGAGAATCCAGTACAAAATTTCGGAGTTCAAACATTTTCTGCACTTTCCAAAAGTACCCCTGGTCGGGTCGGAGAGGGCTCTCTCGTGCACGTTTCCTCTGTTCCCCCCTCTCTCTTGCCTCGCCTTCCACCTCCTCTTCCCATGTCCACAGCGCCCGCTCCTCGGCGCCGTCGATCTCATCTTCCTCCTTGCTGCCCTCGCCCTCTCCATCCTCACCCCCCTCCATCACCACCCCCACGGTGCTCAGCACAAGGCGGAGATGGAGGAGCCCCTGCACGCGAAAACGGCGCCAAGCTGATCCCGCGGGAGGAGTTACGCCATAGGGTCTCGCTCGGGCGTACTTGGCCCTCCTCCGCCACGTCGCTCGAGCTGCTTGCGCTGGCGTTCTTGCTCCTCCCTAGTTTTAAGTTTACTAATTTTATCGTCCATTGCTATTAAGTTTTGGCTGTGGAAACTTAGCAAAAACTTAAAAAAAATGTAAACACATATTGAAAATTGGTCTTATTTCAAAGCCCTTGTCACAAGGAACACAAATATGCAAACAAAACTTAATTAGGACTTTCGTTTCAAAAGATAGTTTATGCTCCTCGTCCTACTCCTCGTCCGCAGCAAAGACGCCTCCTTCAGGTAAGCCCCCTCCTCCCTATCCCTCCTCTCTTGCACATCTGATTTGTTCGATTCTGAAATCTATGCACTGGTGTATGTAATCTGGGCAGGAGCAAACGCATTGACCACTTCTGCCTCGAATAGTTGGAGCACAAGGTCGAGGAGCATCCTCAACGCACCAATCTCCGGGCCATCCTCCGCAGCCACGGCATCAACCTCCACGACGACGGAGATCATAGGTGCGTCTAACTCCGCCTCCACCCATGTCATCTCTGTGCCGCTGTGATTTGCAATATCTTGTTACTAGTACACTGCATCCCTAGTTAGTACTAGTACAGTGCAGAAATATTGAGTACGACATGATGTTCAGTGTTGCCTCACTGTGCTAGTTCTCATACCACATCTAGAACAAAAATATATTGAAATTTAAGGGTGAAATGAAAACGTATGGGACATGGGATGGGGGGAGCATAATGCTATTAGTTGACATCATGCATGAATGCATGGGCCCCCCTAAAAGTAGTCCGTGGCGCCATGCATGTAAAGAAGATAAGCATACATGCATTGCAATCTTCAACCAAACGGAGGGCTGAGATCAAGCTTTTAAATCTAGGCTGATATGATTGATATATAGGCTGATATATTAGTAAATATCATTTTGTAAATATTATTTTCACACATATCTTCTGACATGGACTGAAATATCGACCGTATGGCCGATATCTGACCCGATATGCCTGCAAATATAGACCAGTACGTCGATGAACACAATTATTTGTCATAAAGCGGTGAAAAATGGATCATATATTTACAACTCCGTAGAACACATATATAATGCATTATCCTTAATCTTAGAGCGAGGATTTTGTGAATCTATCTTAAACAATTATCCTCTCACAACTCCCCTCCCACCATCCTATGTTTTTCATCCGCCCTTGGTCTGCCCTTGGTTGAAGGTTGTCGAGGTTATGTCGTGGATCAATGGAGTAGCTGGAGTTGGACTGAAAAGGGACCCCCCCCCCCCTCCATGTTGGTTGGCTTTGGGGAAACGTTACCCGCGGGTGGATAGGCCCGGTTGGGATCCCGCGATTTGTCTTTCATCCCTTCAATATGTCACAAAACCACATTTGCTTCACTGCATACACACACGTGACATGCCCCGATTGAGTCCAAAGGCCTGCTACAAATATTGTGCTCATGCTGCAAAATATTCTTCACGTTATATTTTTCGGGAATTATTTTGTTTATTGTTGGAAACATTGATTTACATGTTGCAGCATATTTTTACAAATGGTCAGCTTGGTAAGCTACCAACAAAAAAATAGCATATATGTTGCCATGCATGATTCTTCTCGGGCCTTCATTAGGAGATTGGTTAGTACATTTATTTACAGGAAGTAAATAATGCTACTGTATTGATTTGTTTGGACTGCTTCGATGTTTTTGGTATGTGCTTTATCATGCCAGGAAAAAAAAAGAATATCTAGACTCCTCTCTCGTTCTAAAAAAAACGACTCCTCTCTCCGTCTCTAATCTCTTCACCGGTTTAATTAACCTTCCTTTGCCTCCACTAGTGTACTATATCTTGTTGGCGAAGAAATATCGATCAGATCCGGCCAAGATTCGTTTCCATATACGAAACTGCTATCTCTTCTCCCGCTCAAAGAAAAAAAAAAGAACTGCTAACTCCTCTCTCTCTCTCTCTGCCACGCTGTCAAATTAACAGAAAATAACCCGCAAAAAAAGATTAACAGAAGGTGATCACGTCTAAACTGCACGGTACTGTAGTCTCTCTCTCTCTCTCTCTTAAATTAACAGCAGGTGATCCCGTTTAAACCGCGCGGTACTGTCTCTCTCTCTCTCTCTGCCTAGTACTGTCAAACCGTTTAAACCGCGCGGAAGTCTCCCTCTATCTCTCTGCCACGCTGCGCTGTCAAAAAAAATCAACAGCAGGTGAATCCCCTTTAAACCGCGTAACAAACTGGATCCATCCCAGCCCCGTCACCCATCGTCTCCGAAGCAGACTCCCGTCCCCTTCCCGCCGCGATCCCCAGCTCGCAGCCGCGCGCGCCACGGAAGCCCCGCTGGCGTAAACCCTACCGACTCCAACTCTATCTCTACTTCTCCACCCCGTCTCGGCCTCCCGCCGCGCCTTGCCGCCGCCCAACGGAGCTACCCCTCACCCAAGCCGTCGCTCTCCATATAAGGCACCCCACTTTCCCTCTACCTCCCTCCACCCACAAGCGAAGCGCAGACCCCACCCAGGCCACAACACAAGCCAAGCCCTAAAATCTCGAGCGCAGCGTGCGATTCCAAAACCCTAGCTTCTCGCTCTCTCTCCTCGCTGCCAGTCGATCGATCGACCATCTGGTTTCCTTCCATGGCCAGCTCCGCGGATGATGATCGCCCGGCCCAGCCGCCGCGCCGGCGCCGGGACATCGAGGAGGGCGAGGTCGCCTCCGCCTACTACACGGGCTCCGACACCGACACCGACGACGAGGACGCGCGCTACTTCCTCCATCCACTGCCCCTCAACGACCACCGCCAGCACCAGATGGTCACGGTCGCCCGCCTCGGCCCCGGCCCTGTCCCGGAGGACGTGGTCAGCGCCGGGTCAAGAAGATCAAGATCGACTACCCGGCGCTCGTCGCCGTCGTCCTCGCTCGGCTCCGACGGGACCATCAGAGACGACGGCCACGCCGGCGGCGATACTGCTGCCGCCACCGCGTTATTCCCGGCCTGCCCCGTCTGCCACAGGCAGTTCCACAGCTCCAAGGCCGTCCATGGCCACATGAGGGTCCACGCGCAGGCCCAGCCCAAGGAGGAGGCGAAGGCGTCTGCCACGGTCAGCGCCGTGGACCAGGTGGCTGACTCCGTGTCCGCGTCCATAGCATATGTCGTCGAGGAGCCCAAGACCCCGGACGACCCGATGACCGTGGAGGTGCCGAGCAGCGATCAGGTCCTCGACGGCAGCGGCAGCAGCAGGAGGTCCAGCAGCGTGGAGCCCACTCAGAGTGCTGCTGATCTTTCCATGGCCATCGTGGTGTCAGAGGCAGCAGCACCCGCCGCTGCACCCAATCAAGTCAACATCGCCCCAACGCCTCCTGCACATCGGCAAGACCCCGTCCCACCGCCGGTCGCACCAGCACCAGAGCCAGCCGCCGTCTATCTCCACCCTCCCTCCGCCGCACAGCAGCATGCTGCCGCCGTCCCACCGCTGGCCTTCCACTGGCCACTACACCAGGACCCGGCCGCCCCGCGTGGATTCTCGTGCAAGGAGTGCAACCGGTGGTTCGAGACGCACCAGGGGCTGGGCGGACACGTCGCCGGCCACAAGAACCGGAAGATCGCAGCGGCCGCCGCTACAGCCATAGCAGCGGGGGTCGACCCCATAGCAGCGGGCGGGCCTAGGCCGGAGAAGCTCCACACCTGCAAGGTCTGCGGCGAAGTGTACACCAGCGGCGTCCAGCTAGGTGGGCACATGAGGAAGCACTACACGGGCAAGCCCATCGTGCCAAGGAAACGGGCGCGCCTCCTCTTACCCCCGGACGTCATCGGGGTCGCGATCCCCGGGCTGGCGCCTGCCATGGAAGCGCCCGTTGTGGTGC